TTATTGTTTCCATATCAGATAATCAAATATCAAATATTTGTTTTTCTCTAAAGGAGCTTATGAGAAATGCTACTTATCCCTTTACAATTATAGCACACCCTAACTGTGCAGATGGGCTGACCTAACTATGTTGATTGAGCAATATGAGCATAGGTGTGTTTATTAAAAATAGGTTTCTATATATTATGTGTTATGAAGTTACATTGGTTTACCCATTGTCCATATTGTATCTATGATGAAGTTAGTCTCATCTATAAAGGAACATTTGTATTTTTATTCAAAATAAAGGATTTATTCAAAAGTCAATGCTACTTTGTATTTCTAAAATTGGAATTTTCTTGAATTTCTTACCAAAAGCTTACCAGTCTTTTTTTTTAAAAAAAAAAACCCAAACCATTTTTTTCTGGAATGTAATGTTTTGCTTTTTATCTCATAAGGTTTCCATTTCTCAATAAATTTACACCCTTATACTGAACTTATATACACCCACATGTCTGTGGAAGTGAAGATAAAAATTAATTTGAATACAAGGGATTACAAGAACAGAGGCTGGAAAAAAATATTAATTGATTCCTTTTTAAAATAAAAAAACGGTGACATAAGTTCACCTTCTATGACAAAAGTATGCCCAAACTTTTCATATTTATGCATTCATATTATATGTAGCACTATACATTACTATTATTCACCTTTTTAAAAACTATTGTGTATCTCCATCAAATACAAATATTTGTTTTCCCTTAGTTTTTAAAAAAATGGCTGTGTGCAATCTCCTTTATTGTTTTTAAGGAAATCTGAAAAGGAAATAAAATATTTAAATGAATAAGGGAATAAATATTGTCTGTTGTCGCATATTTAAGTAATGGATATATATAACAGCAAAGATGCAAAGTTACCCATCTGTCAGTTTGTGAATGTTCATAATATATCTATGTTTCTATTTTCCAGATACAGATCAGCCAGTGCTGACAATCCCTTCTGGAAGCTTCAATTGATGTGTCCAAAGTTTTGGTTATTCACCAAATCTGTCTGCAATCACCTGTCTTAATATATCAACATTCACTTTTAGTTTCTTGCAATAATATATAAATTTTATGGATTAGATCCAAACTCAGAATAGATTCATTCATATGATGAACTCCAAAGCTAACTAATTGGCTACAGTTAAATACAACCAATGTAATTTAATTATTTTAGTTGCAGTTAAGCACAAGAGAAATTGAGACAAAAGGAAAAAAAAACACTTAGTAGCAGAACTGATTGCTGATAGAAAATTATAATGCTTTTTCCAGTTAACTGATATGCTTTGAAAGGAAAGGGTAAGGAAATGGAGAACTCTGGGATGTGTTCACCATACATAAGTCATGTAGCGCACTATCAGCTGGGTTAGATATAACTGGATAATATAATGGTCTCACAGTGGTACAATCATTAGAATATGTATATCATACCTTTAAGAGAGTCCAAACCTCTATTTGCAATGCATATGTGCTATAAACTAAGGAATTATTTTCTCTTTCATTCGGTCATCCATTCATCAATCTGTTTATGCTGATGGGGATGTTGTCTGTGCAATCCTGTGTTACATGCCTCTTTTCTTTACAAAATAAACCCTCGATTCAGAATAAAAACCAAAGCCCCAAATCATGTTCATTTGAATCATACTAATCTTCATGCTGTACTCAATAGAAATATAAATTCAAGGCAGTCCAACTAGTCATTAGCAAAAAATAATACGTATATATACTTACACTCTCTATAAAATGATTTGGTAATGTGGATTAGGAAATTAGTAAGAAACTGTTGTCAGCCTAGTATATGCGTGTGTGTTTGTGTATATACACGCACACACACACACACACACACATAAGAACCCATACGTGTCAATGATGGCTGTTTTCAAGTATTTTAGTATTTGTTATGCATTTTAGAATGCATTTAAAACAAGTCATATGTAGAAAGGACTGGTTTCACATGAAACATTTTATCAAAATTAAATAGAAATTTGTACACTGTAGCTCATTATTAGAGTGTGCATGTATACATAGCAATTTTCCCATTCTCCTTGTACCAGTTACTAATGCTGGGCACATTCCATTGAGAAATTCTCTCCCCGTGGAGTCAGTTGGAACTAAGCAGGAATAAGATCAGATTGTCTACATGTATTCCAGCTAGAAGAAGCATTTTTCACCCTTTGTCCTTCTGTAACAGAACAGATGAATTCAGACAACATATATTAGACTTTTTTTTTCCTTGTAAAAATGTAGTCCCAATCCAAAATGTTTGGAAACATCTTATTTCCCATTTAGCTTGTGCCAGTTTGCAAGTTAAAGGTCAAAGAGCAAAGACATCAACTAGTACAGAGTAAGAAAATTCAGACAGCAAAGTTTTTTCTCTTTTTCACAGAAGACAATGTTTAACTCAGTAATGACAATCAACAGATCAATGAAGTTCAAGGCAAGCTGTTCATTGTATCAAAAGCTACCTCCCCGGAATCCTAGCTTTCATAAAAAGTCAGGTGTCTATTTAGTGGGGTGCATTCTTTCTAAACACTTTTCATAAATTCCTAGCCCAGTGACTGTAAAAAGCTTGTCACTGCGAGAAGCAGCTCCTAAAATCAATAAAAGAGGTCTGTCAGTTGCTGACTTTTCTCTAGGAAAAAAAATTAACATGTAACCTGCTCTGCAGGTCACATGAAAATGACAATACTGCTGTTAGCATAAAATTACATAAGATGACATAATGCCAGGTAGTCCCATGGGTTCTTTCCATGACTTAGTGCACAGCTAAATGCCAGAGGTCTTGCCAACGCTTTGAGAACTAAGATGAAGACTACATTTTGTGAAGAGGAGGGAAGATGAACAACAGCCAGGCAGCATCAGATGTTGCTTTCTCTTCTCCTTGATAGGGTTAACTATGCCTATAAGTGTTCATATTCAAAAGCAAGTTCTGTACTCATGCAGAATAGTATTTATAAAAAACTTTAAAAGATGAGCTTTTTTAAAAATAAAAATGAAGCCAATTGTTAGATAGAAGAGTTCTATCTAGTCCCACAGATTTTCCTATTGCTCTTAGGCTGGAGAAGGACCAAGGCTTTCATGAAAGCTGAAGGTAGTGTGATAGAGGGACTGTTTCCAGCAGTATCTCTTTCTCTTCTATTCATCCCCATTATACTGCTGTCATTTCTAATCAACAGAGCTCAGCACAGAAAAGCCCCACAAAACTAGTGAGCAGAGACTATGTAATCCATAGGCAGTATTGCCTCCTGCTAGCATATGGTATTTGAATGGCTGCAAATTATATGTATCTGTCTCCAGCCAAACTGCAGCCAAGTATTGAATTCTACCCACTACGGTTCACAAAGGTACGATGCATGGCCCTCCAAGCATAGTACCAAAAAAAGGTCACTTGCATGATAAGAACGTAATGCCACTCATCAAATGCTCTGCCATGTTTGCTGGCAGAATTTTTTAAAAAAAAAACAATTCACACACCCATTTTTCAAGGGTGTAAGGGAAGCTCATTATTTGTTAATAGGACCCATGGGGTCTACCAATAATGAGATCAATAGTGTTGGGAGAAAAAGAGCAGCACAGACGTGGGAGACTGATAAAATGGCTTGGCATAGCACCAGCTGAAGACAAGGAGGCAAAGTTGAAGAACTGTCACTGCACATTCGGTATGGCAATTAAAAATAAATAAATAAACCCAGAAATCAACTGGAAAATCTATGGTAACCTTTTATTGTATTATCCCCAATGGGGCTATTTACTAGAAATAGCCACATTGTAAGTTCGGTTTTCTGTCTAGTATTGTGATGAGCTGATTCAAACCCAGGGTTAACAACTGCCTTCCATTTATCTGCCAATCCACTTGATCATGCCAAACCCATTCAGGCTTCGTCTTCATTATGCTACTATGAAGTAACATAATAAATTGGGCCAGCCTGGACTATCTAATGTGTCCTGGAACCAAATTAGAAGCAACAGTGATGGGAGAAGAGAACTATGATATTGAGGGCTCTGTAGATCTGGTTTAGGAGTTATAGAATGTTACCTTTAAGTAAAAGCAGAATCTGTGCACTAATACTATTTCAATCAATATTATTTTCCATTCTGAAAACTGATCTGATAGTTCTCAGAGAGAAACTGATTATATAAACTTAATACTAATCTTATGTTTCTCAGTAACTTTTAATGTTATCTGATTGCATTCTTACTTCTGGAATTTGCTGCTTTCTAGTCTGGTTTCAAAATAAGGTTTCTGAGAAGCTTATGGGAAGCCTGGGACCAGCTTGCCTGATACAATTCTGGGGAAAAGAAGAAGTGGACAGGTGAGAAACCAATAAATGCTAAACCAATCAGTAAAAAGGATACTCTCTATATAGTAATGAATATAAATGTGTGAAAACATTGAGGACATAGCTCTGAACAATTGTATAAAACACAAAATGAATATATTATTAAGGCTGTTACTATATTGCAGATATTTTGGCCCCTTGTTTGTTGGAAAATGGCTGTCCAAACAGTCAGAATTCCTGTATGTCATCCTGATCTCCCACTTGATAAAAATTAGGTGTAGGAGTATAGGACTATAGCTGACAGAAAGCAATCCTCTTTGGAGACAAAGCTGTTTTGGATCTTCACACTTCCTGAAAGTTCCGTTGTGATTGTTGTGTTTTAGTTACTCTATCTTTTCTCTTTAAAAAATGCTTATATGTTTTCTTTTCTTTCTTTTTTTTTAACCTCACACAAAACTATTTCAAAGAGAAAAAGAAAGAAAAAGAGAAAGAGAAAGAGAAAGAAAGAAAGAAAGAAAGAAAGAAAGAAAGAAAGAAAGAAAGAAAGAAAGAAAGAAAGAAAGAAAGAAAGAAAGAAAGA